GTGTGATCACACTGAAACATACGAGGCCAGTCGATCCATCATTCCGACCCGTGTGATCACACTGAAACATACGGGACAGTCCCTCCATCATGCCGACCCGTGTGATCACACTGAAACATACGAGGCCAGTCGATCCATCATTCCGACCCGTGTGATCACACTGAAACATACGGGGCCAGTCCCTCCATCATGCCGACCCGTGTGATCACACTGAAACATACGGGGCCGGTCCCAGTGTCTTCCCGACCAATGTAATCACACTGAAACGTACAGAGCCAGTCCCTCCATCATCCCGACCTATGTAATCACGGTGAAACATACGGGGCCAGTCCCAGTGTCTTCCCGACCCGACCTGTGTAGTCACACTGAAACATACGGGGCCAGTGCCAGTGTCATCCCGGACCGACCTATGTAGTCACACTGAAACATCCGGGGCCAGTCCCAGTGTCATCCCGACCCGACCTGTGTAGTCACACTGAAACATACGGGGCCAGTCCCAGTGTCATCCCGAACCGACCTGTGTAGTCACACTGAAAGTCCACACTGGGAAACATGCAGGGCCAGTCCCAGTGTCATCCCGAACCGACCTGTGTAGTCACACTGAAACATCCGGGGCCAGTCCCAGTGTCAGCCCGACCCGACCTGTGTAGTCACACTGAAACATCCGGGGCCAGTGCCAGTGTCATCCCGGACCGACCTGTGTAGTCACACTGAAACATACGGGGCCAGTCCCAGTGTCATCCCGACCCGACCTGTGTAGTCACACTGAAACATCCGGGGCCAGTGCCAGTGTCATCCCGAACCGACCTGTGTAGTCACACTGAAACATACGGGGCCAGTGCCAGTGTCATCCCGAACCGACCTGTGTAGTCACACTGAAACATACGGGGCCGGTCCCAGTGTCTTCCCGAACCGACCTGTGTAGTCACACTGAAACATACAGGGTCAGTGCCAGTGTCATCCCGACCCGACCTGTGTAGTCACAATGAAACATACAGGGCCAGTCCCTCAATCATCCCGACCCGACCTGTGTAGTCACACTGAAACATACGGGGCCAGTCCCTCCATCATCCCGACCCGACCTGTGTAGCCACGCTGAAACATACGGGGCCAGTCCCTCCATCATCCCGACCCGACCTGTGTATTCACACTGAAACATACGGGACCAGTCCCTCCATCATCCAGAACCGACCTGTGTATTCACACTGAAACATACGGGACCAGTCCCTCCATCATCCAGAACCGACCTGTGTATTCACACTGAAACATACGGGGCCAGTCCCAGTGTCATCCTGACTATGTAATCACGGTGGAAACATACAGGGCCAGTCCCAGTGTCTTCCCGACCCGACCTGTGTGGTCACACTGAAACATACCCGGGGCCAGTGCCAGTGTCATCCCGGACCGACCTATGTAGTCACACTGGAAACATCCGGGGCCAGTCCCAGTGTCATCCCGACCCGACCTGTGTAGTCACACTGGAAACATGCAGGGCCAGTCCCAGTGTCATCCCGAACCGACCTGTGTAGTCACACTGGAAACATCCGGGGCCAGTCCCAGTGTCAGCCCGACCCGACCTGTGTAGTCACACTGGAAACATCCGGGGCCAGTGCCAGTGTCATCCCGGACCGACCTGTGTAGTCACACTGAAACATGCAGGGCCAGTCCCAGTGTCATCCCGACCCGACCTGTGTAGTCACACTGAAACATCCGGGGCCAGTGCCAGTGTCATCCCGAACCGACCTGTGTAGTCACACACTGGAAACATACGGGGCCAGTGCCAGTGTCATCCCGAACCGACCTGTGTAGTCACACTGAAACATACAGGGGCCGGTCCCAGTGTCTTCCCGAACCGACCTGTGTAGTCACACTGGAAACATACAGGGGTCAGTGCCAGTGTCATCCCGACCCGACCTGTGTAGTCACAATGAAACATACAGGGCCAGTCCCTCAATCATCCCGACCCGACCTGTGTAGTCACACTGAAACATACGGGGCCAGTCCCTCCATCATCCCGACCCGACCTGTGTAGCCACGCTGAAACATACGGGGCCAGTCCCTCCATCATCCCGACCCGACCTGTGTATTCACACTGAAACATACGGGACCAGTCCCTCCATCATCCAGAACCGACCTGTGTATTCACACTGAAACATACGGGACCAGTCCCTCCATCATCCAGAACCGACCTGTGTATTCACACTGAAACATACGGGGCCAGTCCCTCCATCATCCAGAACCGACCTGTGTATTCACACTGAAACATACGGGGCCAGTCCCAGTGTCATCCCGACCCGAGCTATGTTATCACACTGAAACATACGGGGCCAGTGCCAGTGTCATCCCGAACCGACCTGTGTATTCTCACTGAAACATACGGGGCCGGTCACAGTGTCATCCCGACCCGACCTGTGTAGTCACACTGAAACATACGGGGCCAGTCCTTCCATCATCCCGACCTGTGTATTCACACTGAAACATACAGGGCCAGTCCCAGTGTCATCCCGACCCGACCTGTGTAGTCACACTGAAACATACAGGGCCAGTCCCAGTGTCAGCCCGACCTACTACTGCCTACAGGGAATAAAGCCTTCAGTCTTAAATAAACAATTTTACGCACCAGTGGTTACAAATTGTACTGCCTCTACCCGTTCACTAAAGTGGTAGGTCCCACTTCATTGTGCATTAATGCCTACAGGGAATACAAAACACAGACTTTTAAATGACATTTTATAAGATTTAATCATATCATCATTTTCATTTCTTCACACAAAATTACATTACATTACATATTATTGAATTATTAATTGAGATGACATTACATTATAAATCATATTATTGAATTATTAAATGAGATGACATTACATTACATTCTAAATCATATATTACATCATTCAACATTAATTATTTACATATTTACACATATACAAACATACAAATATACATTTCTGATGACAACTGAAGTCATTCAAGCTGTTTGAGTCATTTGCTCCAACTTAATAAAATGTCCAGCAGCTGAGAGGAAATCCATGGGGGTCATGATTCCAGTTGTCAGTTGGTCCTTCAGTCTTGTTAGTCTCTGGTCGATCTCTGTGTAGATCTCAGGAGTAGAACGTGTTGTCCATGTAGAGGGTGTCGACTTCTTGTAGGAGAGTCAGGCGGTCACTTGTGGCGAAGCAGATGATCTTGTCGTCGTCTCGGTCGTCTATGCAAAGGAAGGGCAGTCCATCAGAAGTTTCCTTGAAGTAGTCTGGTAGATTCACCTCGCTGAGCGTCTGGGGATGTGGCGGCATCGTCTTTCGTCTCTGCTTGTAGAGTACACTCTTCAGTGAATAGAAGGAGTTGACTGTCGCTGCTTCATCTCGGTCCAGTCCTGAAATCTCCTCGTCGTAGATGGTCGGTACTGACATTGTCTCAGTCTGTACCCGTGGCCGCAGAGCACTGGCAATCTTCAGAGATGCATGATCTTCCTGTGAATGGTTGTGTGGGGGCTGATTTCGAACCAACTGTCCGACTGTGGTGCACTTACCAACACACTTCCAGTGTACGCAGATCTGTCGTCGGTTGTTGAGTCTGTATCTGTAGCCGTCGAGTAGTATGTGCTGTCCTTCTTTCTGTGATGTGAAGTACTCGACTTTCTTTGGGTTTGCCATGGTTAGCAAAGGAGACTATGGTTACAAGCATTTTAAAGCAATACATTTCCTTCTCAATAAGAAAAATCTCTCTCAATATATGAAACATTTCCTTCTCACTCTGTTTTACCCCTCAATATGTTTTTCTATCCTTCAACCATGTGAGATGGAGCATAGCCTCTGCTAATTGCTCTTTGCCCTTTACTCACCTAATCCCACTGTAGGCATTAGTGCACACTAACCGGTACAGTCCACTTGTGTGCAGGTAAGCGTATCGCTGTAACAACAAACTTTGTAGCTATTATTCCCTGTAGGTATATTTACCCTGCAGGCATTAGTAGACCAAACCGCTAGGCCAGTCCCTGCATATAGACAGTGAAATAACAAAGGGAAGAAGAGGATAAAATGTCAAGTTCTTAATAACCCCTTGCCTCGGTTTTGTCTCTACCAAACCCAAACCACTGCAAGATGTTGGTGGATGGTGTCCTGACAACTCTCATTATTGCAGCAATTTACATTTCTCATGTTCCTGATACATATCGGTGTTACTGATAATGCTCATATTTAGAGTTGATTGCGTGTACTGGTTGAGTGTTAAAGCTTTAATCACGCAGGTACAATTTCATATATGCCGCACAAAAGCTTAATATGTTTTCAAATATCGAATGTTTTCGATACGTTATAGACTTCAATCTATATAATTACATGGGAATGGGAGACGACGGACTGCTCAGGCAACTTGAAAACAAAACTCTCTCTCTCTCTCTCTCTCTCTCTCTCTCTCTCTCTCTCTCTCTCTCTCTCTCTCTCTCTCTCTCTCTCTCTCTCTCTCTCTCTCTCTCTGTGTGTGAGAGAGTGAGTGTTTGTGTGAGTGAGTGAGTGTGAGAACATATGCTCATGTATTAAACACCAATGTTTCACCTAATTTAATTGATGTGATCTATCAGATTGAGGAGAAGGTTGGTTAGTCAGGTGTTGTATTTCAACACTTATAGCAGAGGTACTGGGTCATTCAGTCACATGCAGTCGCATGTGCTCGACCGGCCGAGTAAATGAACACGCCTTGACTTGAGCGACACTTCCTGGTTGCAGCGAATGAGTAAATAGCAGCATGGTTGTATCCTGAACACGCTCTGTTATTCTCGCCACACACCTGAATAAATTATAACTAAGCGAGAAACATCGAGTAAACAAGACTATTGTTTTCGAATACAAATGAAAGTTGGTCACGGTGTATGGACACATGATCAAACCCCATCGAAGACGGAAAGTCACGCTCTAATAACTAAGTCAATTACTGTCATGCCCGCACCAGTTACCTCCCTATTAATAGTGGTGACGTATGTTCTAGTACTGTCGTGGTGCACAGCTCTCTTCAGGTCGCATTGTTGAGAGGAGTGTTGTTGACTTGAGTTAGTTCCGGGATCCCATACCTCGAGAAGGGATCAACATGGATGTCCTCTGGTTGCTGTCGCTGTTATATCTAACCCATGCGGTGGTGTGTGAAGGTAAGGTCACAGTTAATGATAAAGATTTCATTTCGTTAACTATAATGAATAAATTCTCAAGTGACAAACGTCCATCTTTGCCGTATACATATCACTGTAAGTGGCAACAACAAGGTCGTCTTTTGTCATGATAGATACATCTACTTTCTTCACCCGGCTTCTACTCCTGTCTGATATGTTTATGGTAAGGAATCAAAGATACACCAAGCCCAAGGTGTAAATGTTTAGGTGTAATAGCTAGTGAGTGTGTGCACTGCGACGGAATCCAACGGTGGATATGCTTGAACGAATATCTCTATGTATATTATCAGTGTGGGTGAAGCCATTACCACAGACCGTTAGTGTATCTACCAAACATTCGTGCTATGATTCTATAACCTCGGTACGTCTGTTGATGTATCTTACAAACGTGCGTTAGCCTGCTTAACATCGGTACGACTGTTGGTGTATCTTACAAACATGTATGTTATCCTTCTTTGCCTCGGTACGACTGTTGGTGTATCTTACAAACATGTGTATTATCCTTCTTTGCCTCGGTACGACTGTTGGTGTATCTTACAAACATGTATGTTATCCTTCTTTGCCTCGGTACGACTGGTGGTGTATCTTACAAACGTGTATTATCCTTCTTAGCCTCGGTACGACTGGTGGTGTATCTTACAAACATGTGTGTTATCCTGCTTAGGTGTATCTTACAAACATGTGTGTTATCATTCTTAGCCTCGGTACGATTGGTGGTGTATCTTACAAACATGTGTGTTATCCTTTTAAACCCTCGGTACGGCTGGTTGTGTATCTTACAAACATGTGTGTTATCATTCTTAGCCTCGGTACGACTGGTTGTGTATCTTACAAACATGTGTGTTATCCTGCTTAGCCTCGGTACGACTGGTGGTGTATCTTACAAACATGTGTGTTATCCTTCTTAACCCTCGGTACGACTGGTGGTGTATCTTACAAACATGTGTGTTATCCTTCTTAACCCTCGGTACGACTGGTTGTGTATCTTACAAACATGTGTGTTATCCTTTTAAACCCTCGGTAGGACTGGTTGTGTATCTTACAAACATGTGTGTTATCCTTCTTAACCCTCGGTACGACTGGTTGTGTATCTTACAAACATGTCTGTTATCCTTTTAAACCCTCGGTAGGACTGGTTGTGTATCTTACAAACATGTGTGTTATCCTTTTTAACCCTCGGTAGGACTGGTTGTGTATCTTACAAACATGTCTGTTATCCTGCTTAGCCTCGGTACGACTGTTGGTGTATCTTACAAACATGTGTGTTATCCTTCTTAGCCTCGGTACGACTGGTGGTGTATCTTACAAACATGTGTGTTATCCTTTTAAACCCTCGGTAGGACTGGTTGTGTATCTTACAAACATGTGTGTTATCCTTCTTAGCCTCGGTACGACTGTTGGTGTATCTTACAAACGTGTGTATTATCCTGCTTAGCCTCGGTACGACTGGTGGTGTATCTTACAAACATGTGTGTTATCCTTCTTAACCCTCGGTACGACTGGTGGTGTATCTTACAAACATGTGTGTTATCCTGCTTAGGTGTATTTTACAAACATGTGTGTTATCCTTCTTAACCCTCGGTACGACTGGTGGTGTATCTTACAAACATGTGTGTTATCCTGCTTAGGTGTATTTTACAAACATGTGTGTTATCCTTCTTAGCCTCGGTACGACTGGTGGTGTATCTTACAAACATGTGTGTTATCCTTCTTAACCCTCGGTACGACTGGTGGTGTATCTTACAAACATGTGTTATCCTTCTTAGGTGTATCTTACAAACATGTGTGTTATCCTTCTTAACCTCGGTACGACTGTTGCTGTATCTTATAAACATGTGTGTTATCCTTCTTAGGTGTATCTTACAAACATGTGTGTTCTCCTTCTTAGGTGTATTTTACAAACATGTGTTATCCTTCTTAGCCTCGGTACGACTGTTGCTGTATCTTACAAACATGTGTTATCCTTCTTAGGTGTATCTTACAAACATGTGTGTTATCCTGCTTAACCTCGGTACGACTGTTGGTGTATCTTACAAACATGTCTATTATCCTGCTTAGCCTCGGTACGACTGGTGGTGTATCTTACAAACATGTGTATTATCCTTCTTAACCCTCGGTACGACTGGTTGTGTATCTTACAAACGTGTGTTATCCTTCTTAACCCTCGGTACGACTGGTGGTGTATCTTATAAACATGTGTATTATCCTTCTTAGCCTCGGTACGACTGGTGGTGTATCTTACAAACATGTGTGTTATCCTTCTTAGGTGTATCTTACAAACATGTGTGTTATCCTGCTTAACCTCGGTACGACTGTGGGTGTATCTTACAAACATGTCTATTATCCTGCTTAGCCTCGGTACGACTGGTGGTGTATCTTACAAACATGTATATTATCCTTCTTAACCCTCGGTACGACTGGTTGTGTATCTTACAAACGTGTGTTATCCTGCTAAGCCTCGGTACGACTGGTTGTGTATCTTACAAACATGTGTGTTATCCTGCTTAGGTGTATTTTACAAACATGTGTATTATCCTTCTTAGCCTCGGTACGACTGGTTGTGTATCTTACAAACATGTGTGTTATCCTGCTTAGGTGTATCTTACAAACATGTGTGTTATCATTCTTAGCCTCGGTACGATTGGTGGTGTATCTTACAAACATGTGTTATCCTTCTTAGGTGTATCTTACAAACATGTGTGTTATCCTGCTTAACCTCGGTACGACTGTTGGTGTATCTTACAAACATGTCTATTATCCTGCTTAGCCTCGGTAGGACTGGTTGTGTATCTTACAAACATGTGTATTATCCTTCTTAACCCTCGGTACGACTGGTTGTGTATCTTACAAACATGTGTGTTATCCTTCTTAACCCTCGGTACGACTGGTGGTGTATCTTACAAACATGTGTGTTATCCTTCTTAACCCTCGGTAGGACTGGTGGTGTATCTTACAAACATGTGTGTTATCCTTCTTAACCCTCGGTACGACTGGTGGTGTATCTTACAAACATGTGTGTTATCCTTCTTAACCCTCGGTACGACTGGTTGTGTATCTTACAGACATGTGTGTTATCCTTTTTAACCCTCGGTAGGACTGGTTGTGTATCTTACAAACATGTGTGTTATCCTTCTTAGCCTCGGTACGACTGTTGGTGTATCTTACAAACATGTGTGTTATCCTTTTTAACCATCGGTACGACTGGTTGTGTATCTTACAAACATGTGTGTTATCCTTTTTAACCCTCGGTAGGACTGGTGGTGTATCTTACAAACCTTAAAAGTTGAAGAGATATCAGTTTTAGTCACAAATTTATGATAACAATGAACGGATCAGGCTCACATAACTCGCAGTAGTGAGATATGACAGGAGACGTTATGGATGCCATCGATCAGGGAAGATGATTAGGTGGGGACTGGACATTTTGACATGTTCGTAACATGACCACGATGTGTCACATTCAATTATTTTTCAGACATTACAAGTGACCAGCGATCCTCAGTTACGACGTTTTGCTGGTCATTGATGTCAGTTGGCAGTATCTTTGCGTAGGCTAGCGGCAGTTACATTCCCTGTTCGAGGCCGTCGATCTTGGTATCATACCAACAGATGCTGTACTCTTGTCGGTGACCTGGGACTCTCCCAACGGGCCCCGTCGTCTACACTGAGAATTTCTTAGTACCTGTTCCATTAGTCTGTCGTACAGACCCTGAAGCAAATATATCCAAGAAAGGCCAAGCAAGTCTAGAAAATGTGGCAAGTCTAGATTTCCTCAGCTTCTGAAAATGAAGAAAGTCTTAGGGCTCCTTTTCATTATATATATTTTTTTTTACTATGAACTTTTTTCAGTAAAATATGTTCATTTCAGAGACTAGTTGTTAGTCTACTGTTCCATAGTCTCACCACAGACTGTAGAACACTGAACTTACTGGCCACGCAACGTAGAGGTCTGTTCCCGGCATAGCAGTACCCTGCAGACGATCCGCAGTTTACGCATCTCTGGGCCATACACAAGCAATAAATGGAATCAACTAAATCTCAAAAGATAAGCAAACTCAAACATATTGATCAAAATAACGGCCTACAAAGATAAATCGACCAGCTACGAAAGATTTAAAGTCTGTCTGGAATGACATCCTAAGCATGTGTATAGAGCTACTGCAGGAGAAGCGAGCTGACTATCAGATTTGTTTTTGTGCAAGGTCTTACAGACATAACGTACATGCACGTTGGTGTTTGTCGTTGACGCTTATCCCGTTTCTATCACTTACGGTTAACATGTATGTATCCTGACACAACCTGATACCCGTTTTATTGGCTGTGTCGAGAGCAGATGTGTTTACTCAAGCCTCATACTCTACTTTACTAAACGTGCTACGTTGACTGTCACAAGCCTCCGAGATTTATAGAGGTCGTTTGTGTTTCAGGTTATGTGGTATATTGCAGCAGCAATATATATGATCTCTGACATTTTGCATATTCTGAGATGCTTCGCTAAAAGATCAAAGGCGCCGACAGTACTTTATCAGGCGATAACGTACACTTTTTGATAAAGTCACACTGTATTGACGTCACTACACCATTCTAGTCTGCCCCTTCGTAATCGAACGTCGCCTTGGTAACCGCCGTCACGATGCATGTCAGTTGCCATAGATCAGTACTGTCTACTTCAGTGCCTAACACCGGGTGTTTCAGTTCGCTGACATCACAGCTGGAAACATTACGTTTAACTTTTTCGATGAAAAAAGGCTTCAGCTCTACTCACAATAAACAGCGGCACGATAACGTTCGCTAGCTAAGCCGATGTTCACAGTGCATCTGTGGATTATCAAAAGCAAGCGTCCTCGTACTTTAACTATAATAGTTCTGGGGAAAAGTGTACTTTATTACACTATACATCGGAGTAGGGCGAGCTGTTTTTCTTAAAATAGTGGCTTCTTTTGAAGATCGTTACGTGGGTACTTTAAGTACCTGTAGGAACATCCGTGAGCCCCATACTACGCAATACCACTGTATACCTGAATACAGTGGTGGAACCAGAACATCCGGCCGGGGGACCTGGGCGGCATCCAGCCATCACGGACTTGGGGGTGTTGTGCAGTTATATGCAGCGATATTGCTCACTGTCTGAACTGGTACTTGTCAGAAAACAAACAGTGTTCACTTGCAGTTTCCAAATACATAGGCTACTGGATAGGTTAATCATCACATTTTCATTATTTATTTTGCCCTTGTATAAATCCATTCGATGTGTTTCGAGCAGATTATGTTCCAAGTCTCCTCTAAAACTCAAATACCATACGGAACCTTGTTGAGGTGGGTTTACCCTGATCAGGACGATACATTGATCAGTATCAGTGTGTCCCCAGTACCTGCTGCCTTTGGTTGTAAACATTGAACCTTTAACCATCTATTCTGTACAGAGACCTTACAGCCTAATCACTATTCACCATGAGGTCACTGACCGCCACGCTTTACCGCCACTGGGTACCGGCCAAGTGAATTCCTCTTTATTTCCTTTGTATTGGACTGTAACGATCACAGTGACTGATATGTAGAACCTGTATTTAGGTTGTCGGGTCCGACTGTGAATATTTGCACGAGTTATTTGTGTTTCCCTTGACGTGTAAACGAACGGGAAAACTTTGCGTTTGAATGTCATCATTATCGCCGTGGTTACGATTTCCCACTTCAAGACAATATTAAGCTTTATCTGTATTTCTTCATCATCAATGATATATCTGTTTTATTCCAGGCATATGTAACATGTTGTTATCACTGCAGTGGTCTGTGATTGTTTCAGATGTAGTGTTATCACTGCAGTGGTCTGTGATTGTTTCAGATGTACTGTTCGAGTCTGGTAAGAGACTAGCCGTGGTCGACCCAGCCACCATCACGGGTGGAGATTCTGAATATGCAGACCCAAAGGTCACTGGTACGTCCACTCTGTTATTTCCACAGTACTTTCACATGTGTGTCAATTCATTGCTAGATCTCTCAATGCATGAGTTTTAGAACACACTCACACATTGGAACTAGTGTACTGGTAGAGCAAGTACGATCTGTGTGATCAAGAGACATGTACAGCCAAACAAAAGATGAATTTGGGAACAATAAATACTGAATGTAGTAATACAGGCATGAAGTATGTACTCTATGTATTGTAAAGTCGCCGTATTTCGTAAAGCAGACTTTAGGTGTAGAGAGTTCAGGTACAGATAAATTTACAGTATTATATCAAACTTCTATCTCGGAGTCAGTATAAGGTGTCTGAGTGGGGTATTCATGCTTAACTGTGGCATGGAACCGGTATCTCAGTGGGCTAGCACTATAAAACCAGCTTAAGTCTGGGCTAGTACAAACAGCCACACATACACACGCATACACGTTGTGATACGGGCGAAATATTCTCAAGTACGACGTTAAACCCTATTTCGCCTCACCTATCATTGAATTGCGCCCTCTGATACCTATAACATGGAATCGAGTTGAGGAATTTAATCTTGCCCAACAGTACACACTGAGTATACACATCTCCACAGGTGTCATACATAATTCTTGTACGCAAGGGGTGGTGGGGTAGCCTAGTGGTTTAAGTGTTTGCTCGTGTACGCCGAAGACCCGGGTTCGACTCCCCACATGGGTACAATGTGTGAAGTCCATTTCTGGTGTTCTCCGTCGTGATATTGCTGAAATATTGTTAAAAGCGGCGTAAAACCATACTCACTCACTCTTGTACTCAAATGCGGCAATGTTGTAAGTATTTGACGTGTCATCTAGCTAACGTGTATGGTATACATTGAGAACGTGGGGGGACCGTGTATTAACTGCTCCTGGCCTGGTGGCGTCCATGTAGACTATACAGGAACCAGCATGTATACCCCTCAATGTTGCAACGTTCTTCAGTCATGTATGTTTGTGTCCTTGTAGGGTCCAGTTTGTTTGACAGTTCTGTTGGCAACACCGACAAGCTGAGAATGTCCCTCTTGGTGATGGTCCACAACTTCCGGTCCAAGAGCTCTAACTACTTCCGCGCGCACCCTGTGTTTATCAGCTGTCTGCAGCAGATCCTGAATGATCTCCAAAACGAGAATACACGGGTGAGGACCCTAGAGACACTTCCACAGAGCATCGAAACACTAATACTTAGGGCTGTAACGATGCATCGAACTATCGATGGATTGCAATTGTTGAGTCTCCGATAACATCGATAGTATGTGTAACTATAGTATGTGTAACTAATTGACTTCCGTTGATAAATTCTCAATCCAAACGGGTATTTGGATGGTTATCTATTTTTATTAAATATTTATGTTGTTTTGTATTTTTGTATTGTTTGGGTGCAGACTTGCAGCTTCACTGAGTTTATGTTTTAACTGTTCACTTGATCTGGGTTTCAAGTTTCTTGTGAGTTATAAAAGAGACTGACACTACTTGTTTTTATTTCATCTAAACTATACATTCATTTGGGAAATGACTTCAAATGAGACAATTCAAGGAGAAAAAACCCTATTGTAATAGTATTGCAATAGTTGGTCGCAATAGACTATCGATATCGCGATAGTATGTTGCAATAGACTATCGCTATCGCAATAGTTGTTTCCCCCTCAATAGTCCCCCCTACTAGTACTGCAATCTTTGACAGACATGTATACAAGTTGTGGTATTGTTGGTATCTTTCACATACGATCTATGGAATTGGATTTTAGAGCAGGGACCACGAAGAGTGTCGCGTGTTGATAAGGGCAGGTAGAAGCTGTCAAAGAAACTAACTTGTTGACAAGTATCAACACCTTATACAGTGAATTGTTGTCAGCAAATAGGAACTGATTACATTCATTGCAAACGTTATTTATTGATAGCATTTAATAGCTGCGATACAGTGGTAATGGTAAAAACACCCAGTCTGCTGTAATGTCTAGTTCAGATGTAAGCTACAGATTTCGTCATTTATTTAAAGATATAATATCTTGGCATATAAAGAATAAAAGCTGCAACGGCGTTTATTTCATTGGTGGTAACTGGATATAAGTTGGGTTATAATCAGCGGAATTAGCAGTGGAGTGATTCATATCGCGGATGTTTGCGTGATGGAAGTTCCAGTGAAACTATTCTCGTTACCAGAATAGAGGAAATGTACCAGTAAACTCTCAGAATGCTGCTTCCTGCTGCCCATAAGCACATTGTTCCTTCCATGCACACACTATATTATGGCAATCTAATCCTCATCAATCATACAGATGTTTACAGATAGGGCAACAAGTCAATTAACATGAAAACTACACTTTGACATGCATCGCACTATCAAAATTCTTCATATTTGACAGTGTACAATCAATTACTCACGCGTTAATATGTTACGTATTCCACACAAATACAATCATCGACATATATGGCCAATAAAGAGATACACATGAATATCTTTATGTCTAAAATAATTATGATACTACTGAACGTCATAGTGACAGTTTTTGTTAATGGGCACACAATGCCATTTAGAAAGTGGTCAAATGTACGATATGTTATATTGGGATTACACTTTCTTAGTAAAGTACAGGTGGCTGGGCTGAGCGGGTTAGGCGGCTGCATGACTTTGTGTGCTGGCGATAAGGTGCTTGACTCTGAGGGTGTGGGTTCGAATCCAAACAAAAGTAATAGAATCTGTGCTTTACTAAGAAAATGTAATCCCAAATATAAAATATGTTACTTGGTCGTTAATTACTATTGTTAATTGGTCACGCGTACTGCGGTATTCATGGTTATCCAAAGCCCATCTGCATTACAAGTTCACTTGTCGCCCATCTATTCTTGATGTACACCACTCTTTTGTAGGCTGTAAGACACTTTCATTACTGTGTCAGTATACGACGATGTCATGCTTGTGTTATAGGCGCAGATCTCCAGTGGGTACAAGACTAAGAGCGAAGTTGGTGGAAGTACCTCCCTTCAGGACCTCTATGCCCAAGCCGGCACCGGGGCCTATATCGAGTTTCAGAGCGGAGTCTCTGGGGATGTGAAGAATATCGCCAAGGCAGCGCTTAAACACTGCCCAGTCATTTTCGAGGTATAAATCAATTTTATTGGAACAATTTGTTAGTGGATACATGCACCCAAAGGCGAAAGTTGGTGTGATCGACGCATTTTTTTAATTTAATTGAGAAAGTTTTAATAACTCATATTAGTATTCGAGAGGAGAGCATATTGAGACGTTGGCCAAATCCCCCAGTCTCGCTTCAGGAACTCCGCCAGGTGCTTCCACAGATATAGAATGCCATTCCACATGACTTCTTGCGACGTTTGGTTGGTTCTATGAGGCGCGGGTGTCAAGCATGCATCAATGCTCATGGTGGACATACACGTTATTGACTGTGTGGATTTCGTTTTGACCGTTCTCTCACTGTGACCTCATTAGCATGTGTCCGCCAGAAAAGTTTAAAATGCGTCATTTGCAATTCTATTGTGGAATTATTTTCCTGTAATATTAAAAAAGTCTCATCATAAAAATATCAGTTGTTAATTCACATATCTAACTTCAAGTCAATCACAATAACTTTTGCCTTTGAGTATATATGTTGAAGATATCTACTATGTATGGAATACTGTAAGGGACATTCTCGCGATCTCGCATTCTCGCGAGAAACAATCGTCTGTTGAATTACTGTTTATTACTCATCCGTTGAAGATATCACTGTTTAATAAATTTACAATGTTATTACACATTGTGTAATAACATCGCGTGATGCCGTACGTATGACGCCAAATTGGTTTACAGTTAAGACGTCACAATGCTAATACCTCTGTCACAATAGTATTAGACTATTAGACTTGACTCGCGGATAGCTGAGTTTCATCACACTCGTTGAATTCTAAGGAAAAAGGTACTTTGCTCGATATTATTTTGCTAATGTTGGGTGAAGAAAAATAAAATACTAGAATACTAAACGATGTCCCGTGTAATACCATATTTATGAAACTCGTGAATGGTATTCATATCATTCACTCGTTTCATAAAAATGGTATTACATGGGACATCGTTTAGTATTCTCTATGTATCCCCATCTGTATGTGTTTAACGATGTACTGTGACTGCCACAGCGTATTCAGCGAGATATCGGCATCATCATGACGGCTACAGGGATGTACATCCACATGACAGGAGCTGTCGATACACAGCCACATTTCAGTGCCGAGCCCGGCTTCGAGATAAGCCCTGCAAACTTCCCGGCGTGGGCGCAGAGCTTGATCAACGAGGGACTGGGTATGTAGATGTTGTCAGTTAGGATGACGCCACTTTCCTTACCTAGATGTACAGCTGGTGTAAATACCACGCCACTTGTTAAAGTTCTCAGACATGAATACTACAGCGTATATGCCTCAGTTATGACCTCTTGTCGTAAGAGGCGACTAACGGGATCGGGTGGTCAGGCTCACTGACTTGGTTGACACGTGTTATCGCATCCCAGTTGCCTAGACCGATGCTTATGCTGTTGACCACTGGATTGTCTGGTCCAGACTCGATTATTTACAGACCGCAGCCATATAGCTGGGATATTGCTGAGTGCGGCGTAAATCTAGACTCACTCACTCAGTTATCACCTATCTAGGGACCGTAATGTCCAGAATAAAGAATGTATCGTTCTGTTTTCTCTGTTGGTTACGCTAGTGGAATACTGATGAAGAACTAAATGTACACATCAAGTACAATTATAAAGATTAAGTACATTGGTACCTAAAGGGATCTATACGAAAAGAAGGTGAAATTATAAGTTACGCCATCAGTACCCAGGGATAAACCTGTGCTACTAACAGTTGTTGTTTCATCCTCCGTGAATAGACCCCGTCCAGTCCCCCGACTGCAGTAGGTTCCTGGGTTTGGAGAGTGGTCAGATCCACCCCAGTGACGTCACCACACCCGAGGAGTTGGTGGGCGTGGTGGACCAACCTATTACTAGAGACACGCCAGAAGATTTCATCAAGTAAGTGCCAACTGTTATACCCGGAAACTGACAAAGCGGGTGTCTGATATTTACTACACTGCCCACTTGTGTTACAGACTGGTCCAGTATCAAGGCACTAATGTGGGCTTCTCCAACCCAGAGCGGTCTGCAACCTGGTGTGGGAAGGAAGGCAATGCCTGTGTAGACTGCAGAAACTCCCCAGCTGGCAACCATGTCTCCAAGAGGTGAGTCAAACAGAGATGGTGATTGCACCATGATGCAGCGACTACTTCAGTAATGGAATCATCTCAGATGTCTCGATATATATTCGTAATAACATTACATTATGTTGGTTACTACATCAGTTGGATCAACTGGTACATCGTAGGAACTAATTTTACTGACTAATCACCGATAGGCGAGGACCGTATTTCAAGAAATATGAGCGAGAGACTTTTGCAGCTATTGCATTCTTATTGATCATACCGCATCGAAATATGTCAGATACAATGTTTTCAGCTTTCATCACCAGAGTGTTGAGTTTTTATTACCCTGTCGCGTGTATTGCCAGATGTGCTAGCCGCCTGATGAGTGCCCGGATGTACAACTTCTTGCGTGTGCTACAGAAACTCACTAGGGATAACACTGGAGGGGGTGAGTGCATGGCGCCCCACCTTATATGAGTAACTCTAACATACAATCCAGTTTACGGATATAAATGCATGTATGTTCGTAGAGGTAGGTATTATAAGTCATAGTCTTATCTATAGATGCGATATACTAGTCCAAGGTCATAGAATTGATCTCGCAACTAAAGCAGTATACAGATAATGTCCCCATGCAGATACAATCTATATTAAGCTGCTTCCGTTATGAAATGCCTACTTACCGAATAACCGTTGTCTAATGTTCACATTTTTATGTTTAGATAGGTCTTCAGCAATATGTGTGGTTATTTGCACATACAATGACATTTCGTGCAATACAGCAGAGATAAGAATTGTGAGGCCCTGTATGATATCACTCTATCCCACAGACAAGCTGCGCGTCAGGAAGGCATTTGTCGAACCATACTCGGGCCAATCGGACTATTCGGCCAGCTCGCTTCATGTAGAAGGGAGACAACTGACTCTTGAGCTGGAAAATGGCGGGGCTGGGTTGAAGACTGTTACCAAACTGGCCCAATGCATTGGAGTGGACTTCATCAAACACAATGGTAGTTTTATATTAGAGTACATCAGTATTTTCGGAAGAATTAAGAGCAATATCTGCCGATTAAACAGTAGAGTCTCGTTGCATTTAACCGTCTACATACATCTACCAGCCTGCATCGCATCATTAGTTTGCGTCTCTGAAATGTTATATAAAGCAGTGGGAATATGGAAAGAGAACCCTCTTGTACGCGTGTCTATTTGTCCTTGGGATTCAGGCGACCACGTGGTTCTGGCTGTGAGAAAGATGAAGGGCTATGCAGCACAGAAGATGGCTTTCCAGCAGACGATGCTCTTGGCTGTCGAACCGCCACACAGTAAAGCCGACGACTACAGGCTGCCAGTGGAGTTTGGAGAGTCAGAATATGATGACTATCCATTGTTTGACTCTAATGGCCAGGTGAGTCGGGCAAATTATGAATATTCAGAAACCTTTCAGATGATTTACATGTGACACTAATCACGATCGAATGTCTTAATATCATTCAAATGTTATAAAACATGACATTTCACCTTCTAAATCAAGGTTATTCAAACAATGATGTAGAATGTTACATGTTCAGGAGGACGATTTGCTAGCTGAGGACACGACTCTGGGCCAGTTCACGTCCAAAGATCCCGAGTTTCGCCACCTGCGTCTCAACTCGCTCATACCCAAGTGCTACTCTCAGCTACTTCACTATCACAACAAGCGGAACGCCGATGGAGGTATAACTTAAAACCAATTTCATTCGAAACTAGCGAACAACGAAACTAGCAAATCAGCCCCCAAAATAACAATGTTCCTGAAACTTCTTGATTATAGGTAACAAAATGTCAAGTCCAAGTTTGGTTGGTTCTGTGGGAAGCTGGAGAGCCTTGTTTGACTTTCAGAGCATTAACACAACACTTTGATAAGTTTCGCTATCTAGACTATTCTGTGAGCGTTTCTCAGGCATGTGTGACACTATATAGTACATGTCAACAACATATTTCGAGAAGGGACAATTTAGTGGCAGACGTCTTTGAGAGTAACGCTTATTCCAACATGATGGTGACATCCGCAACTGTGTATGAAGGCCACACTGCATTTTGTCAGCAATGGATGCCTGCTAGTATATACAAGATTTTCATATATGAACTTAAACATGAATATCTGCGTTAGAATTGGTCCTAGGTACGTCATGTTGTCAGACTCACTGACTTGGTTGATGTGTGTCATAGTCTTCCAATTGCATCGATTGAGTCACAGGATTGTCTCGTCCAGACACGTATATATACCGCCACCGTCAGGTACTCCTACCTGGAATATGCAGCAAACACAGCAACTCCCGTATGTAGCATCTTAAACTAAATATAACGCTTTGTTTACCAGATCCAGCAACAGGCATTGATGTTGTCCGTGGTTTCATCTCCACCAAGGAGCAGATTCTTACAATCGACCCTTTCGACCAGCGCTACAATACCTTCATCCTCGGCCTCGCCATGGAGGTGACCCACAACTCCTCACACAACCCCAACAGCCACACCTTATCCCATCTGGCCCAGGTGGCAGTCGACAAGTGTGCGCCGGTTTTCGCTGAAGGCCGCCAGGAGATGGGGGTGGGGCTGTACGCTGATCGGGTGTTTGTGGACATGAGAGACGACTTTGATGTGTGGACAGATAATGTCAACCTCATACCCCATGAATTCGGCAGCATCGGCGTGTACAAGGCAGAGCTGAAAATACGTTTTGATGCCGCTATAGGTTAGTTTCATTAGAACATGAGGGATTTGTTCCAGTAGAACATCAACATAATGATAGCAGTCATAGTTACAACTGCCAAATGGAGCCGGCCAGTTAACAATGTTTAAACGCGTGATATAGAAACCTGGACTGTGATTCCATTGTGCACGTGATAACAAAGCACCATGCTGTTTTCAGAGAAAAGACTAGTGGACCCCGATGACATTGAAGAGGCTAAGAAATCGGCCAATGTTCCCTACCCGCAATCTCCCCTTTTCAGCCACACACCCCCACCACATGTCCTCCGACGGCGCCGCGCAGCCCCCGACCCTGACGACTGCGTGCCTAAGACTGACACGCCTTTCTGTGAGAAAACGAAGCAGTTCCGAGACAAGGAAATCGAGTCCATCTGGACTGAGGTGAACCGAAAGCACCACTACCACAATAAGGAAGAGGTGAGACAGGCCCTGGAACTGTGCATGGGGCTGTGTGGAACATGTATGGACGGTAAGCACATCACGGGTTTACAGGAGACTCAATATGTCAAATATGTACCTAGTTCAGTATGAACAGAACTACTTCAAACAAGAACGATAACTCTTATTCTCCCCTTGTTATCCTGTAACATTAATATAACGTTACAGCAGCGCGCGCAGATTCCTGGTCTTCTCATATATATAAATATTCTTTTGTACAAATGCATATTTCGAATGCAGTTGAACTCCTTCAATCTCATGTATTGTAATTTAATCTCATGTATTTGCAAATGATTGTTATTATTTCTTCAATAAGATATTAAAATTCAAATGAAGAGAAATGACAAGACGTAGGTAGTTTTCGGTATCACGTAATTTCAACTGTGAATTTCTTAGACATATTCACTTAAAAGTATCCCGGCAATTTTTAAAACTTTGTCATTTGAGGACTGAAAATGCTCAGAAATGGACAGCATTAATGCATACTCCACACGTTTTATATGAACAATAAAATCATGAAATATGCCATATCCTCCAAATCTGGAGATGTATAGAAGTATCTCTAAGTATATACCAACAGCATGGTGAGGCGGTGTTAGTAGTCACCCAGTGGGGAGTCCCAGGTAGCCCTGCTTGTGCTAACGGATGGGGCGGCCAGATTCGGTAACCTGGACGATGGCGTACCATCGTACCTCGACCGTGTGGCCTGTTGCTTACAGTGTGGTCGAGTCTGATCAACGATGACTTATGTTCGAGCAGATGCCATATACTTTCAATTCTGGGTATCGCCTATGAAACATCCAGTCTAATATATAGTTTACATTGAAATATATTCTGCATTAAGTGAATATTGTCTACAGTTTCCTATGATCAGTAAATACAAAATACTTTTTCAAGAAAATACTCCACAACCAACAACATGATGTTGCGACTATGAATGTTTATGAATGTGTCTCAGGAAGTGTATACGAGAGTAAACTGGAACACTGTGATAACTTCCTACACTGGGTTCCCTTTGGTCTCATGAACGACAACACCATCTCCAACTTCTTCCCCCGTGATAACGCTGACCTGAGGCGTTACGCCAGTCTGGAACACAGCATTGAGGACGCGGAACTATTTCTCCTCGTCAGTAAGTGCATGTACACAATCAGGGTCCAGTAAGCATGTTAAATACACTGTCTATTCAAATAGGTTTTGTATTCTAGTTGACCACCAGCTAACTTAGAAAAGATTTGAACGTTACAGTTTGGCTCACATCCTTATTATATAATATATATAAAACATGGCGATGAGAGACTGAAAACTGGTATTCAACTTTTATTAGGGTAGGTCAGAGATGCTGTATATTGAATCTGTGTTATTACCATCCAGTCAACTCTGCTGAAGCGGTGTTCCGGCCTGACCCAAAGCAAAGTGTAGAACATGAGCTTTACCCCCAGGCCGAAAACCCCAGCCCTGTGATGATGTTGCTCCATCGTCTGTATGCCATCCACGCAACCGGCAAGGTCAAGTTCTGGGTGTACGATGACATTGACATCTCCTCGCTCAGAGAGCCGCTCCAGGTACACTGTTGTCAACCGTTTTCCAATTCCAGTCGATGGCGCAAGTTATATGTATCCTCATTGATGTTAAGCACGTTTCTAACTCACTTACACATTCAGAGAACTAAAATGGTGCATAGTCATTCGTTAGGGTGAGTCTGTACGAATATTCTTAATCATCCAAATTGGACGCTGCACTATGACGAGTCATCGCCCTGTTTATTTGGTTAGCGATAGTAATGCTGTCCAACGAGAATGCGAGGTGTGAGAGTCCACTCGAGCAACAATGATGCTCTCAAGTCAAACTGTGTGTTGTACAGCTGATGGGTTGCCTGTTACAGGTTGTAATGCTGTACAACAAGAACGTGACGAACGTCGAGGTGTACGTGTCAAGCCCAGGCAGCAAGGATGCTGTGAGTGCTGCTATTGAGAACATGATCCTGGAGTGGTCCACTAATGGCTACCCAGCTGTCACCAGGGAATTCATAGCCCCATACAACATCATGGACCTTCCCAAGTGTAAGTCAAGCAATGACATCATAACAGAGAAATTAAAAAACTTGTGTAACGGCACTGTAACCAACGTACATATGTATTCAATAGTTTGAAATGTACAAAGAATATAAGCGGCTAAAAACCCTTTTCCCAATAAGAAATCCATTGTACGATTCTGATAGTGTTATGAACATGCTTCCCTGTATCGCTGTCAGGTAGGTGGGTATCAATGTTTTCGCGAAAAGGTCTGCCTTACCGGTGGCAGACATCATAAACAGACATTACTGATAAGATAATACGGCTGATATAGTGACCATATTGGAAATCAGATACGAACCTCTTGGGGTGGTATGATTGATCCAGTGGTTTCTGAGATGTCTACAAGGCAAAACCAACAACAGGTCGGATCAAAGCTCATTTAACTTACAGGCTGGGCCAGAAATTGTCCATTCTTGCGTTTACAATGTCAGGTACGTAGTGTACAAGATATCTGCCGAGTATTGGTTTCTGCGCGAGTGGTGTATCATGTCAGGCTTTTCAGTGAACAAATACACACACTTTTCTGTCCATCGACCTTTTGACTCCGAGCATTTAATGTGGGACATTCTCAACTGTAAACAGTTTGTGTCCTGAGAGCACTTAAATGTAATTTTAATGCAGATTTCATCTTCCGGTTATTATTGCAGATGTGGCAAAACGTGATTTTGATACCGCTATCCGTGAGGATCTCATTGAGCGCTACACCAACAGAGAGAAGAGGTGGGTGAACATGGAACTGTAGGAGCCATGCTTCCAGTCCTTGCCTGCCTTGGTCCAGAGTTCAGTCACTTATATCTGCTGTACAAGTCATGCAATCCTTTCTCAAATGTTATATTACTGATAGACAAAATTGTTTTTGCTCACAATGATGTTTCATGCAGCCAACATTGGGATATTTAGAAAAGAGACCTTCCTTTAGTTTTCTTTTGTTTTAGCCCATATACTTTCTTCATTTATGGCTCCCACACAGTGTCAACTGATGTACATTTATCTACCTATGATCTGTGTCAGGGAGACTATCAAATATCTGTGATAACCATCTTTGTATCAACACACTCATAGGCGGATCCAGAGGGGGTGTGCAGGGGTGTGCAGCCCCCCCCCCTTTATTAAATGACCAGTGATTCTTGAGTGAAAATGAAGTGTGCACCCTTCCTTTTCTCAATAGTGTGCACACACACACACACACCTTTCTCAAAAAGCTGTATCTGCCCCTGACACTTCTTGTGAAACATTATATTAGATACTATGACTCAGTAACCATGCTCCAATCTGCCTATCATCACCATACTCAAGACAGGTTTTTAAACAAACATTTAACTGAGAGTTATCATGATGTTCTTAATTTTCTTTTAAAGGTAAAAAGTATCAAGTAACAAGCATTCAGTTCCATGGTTGTCCAACTGTCCATGGAACAATATTTTTAGTCCAACTTATTACAATGTTTTTATTCAGCAATTATTTTGCATATTGACTGTGTTTTGTATACATTTCTTAATAAACTTGAGAGTGCACTTTGTTTAGATATTGTCTCTTTGGCAAAAATTGACATCAAACATTAATGAAATAAGATTATGATTACATCAACATACTAACTATTGTTGGGAATCTTCATTATAAGAAATTGTTTTAAGTGCAGAACGAATTTTTTTTATTGCAAATACAAGAAAATATCACTACAGAATTATGGTATTCAAACTCAAGGACAAAATCATCTTGGCTCAAACAGTTGTATGTATAACATTTCACAACTCATATACCTCCTCATCTGTGCGTGCGTGCCAGGTGGCCAGGTTAATAATACACATCAAACTGACATGTAGAACCAGTTGTCAGTGAGTGATAACATTGTCTCCACAGACTCATTGTCCATATCGTGAGTGAGTGAGTATAGTTTTACGCCACCGGCAGTCTGTAAGTAATTGAGTCTGGACCAGACAATCCAGTGATCAACAGCATGAGCATCGATCTACGCAATTGGGATATGACAATGTGTCAACCAAGTGAGTGAGCCTGACCACCCAATCCAGTTACTGACCTCTTACGACAAGCATGGGTTACTGAAGACCAATTCTAACCCAGATCTTCATGGGTCCTATATCATGAGTGAGTTAAATTTTACGCCGCACTCAGCAATATCCTATATCATGAAGCCACACAAGTAGGTTACCTTGGAGAAACTAATATATATCATTCATCATGTAAACACACTCAAACTAGAGAAGCTAAAAAAATTTACTAAACCCATTGGCATCTGTGTGCAGAGTTTATTTCCACCAAGCTTTGGCCTGCCTACTTCAAGTATCACTATACATGTGGTCTTTATGAACCAGAAGCAAACAAGAACACAAACAGCACCTTGAAATGATTACTCAGTCCTTGTTCCCTGCAATAGTTGATGAAATATACACATTTAAATACTACTGCAGAAACAACATATATGTTGTCCCGGTTGTTTGAAGGTGTCTTATGAAATGCCTCTATCGACAAGATTAGGGCTGGCTAAAAAGATTGATAATCACAATTATAGTCAATGGGAAGATTTATGAATGATTGTCAATATGAAAGTGTCATCAATAATACCGTACATAAACTAATGCGATGAAATACAGTTTTAACTTACACACACACACTGCACAAAGTTATGCCTTTATTCACGGGCTGCTGCTGCAGCTGCCAAAATACATTCAGGATGCTTTGTTAGCCATCCATGTATAAATATGTCACCATACTCTGGCCAAGTGAAATATGTTGAGTTTTTCTGTCATTTTGCTCAAAGTAACTATTCCAATATTTATCAACAACTGATCGACATTTAGTTAACAATTATCGATCTCTATCATCTATAACAATAGCAAGCCCTAGACAAGATATACCTGAATTTATTTGCTTTCCAGAATGATTTCGTTTAATTTTGTCTTGTTGTCTAACACCACACTCAGAAATGTTCCAACTGTATGATAGCAGTCTCTACAAACTGCGGACCACACAGTGACTGAGCATCTATCTACACAACTGGAATACACGTCCTGCATCAACTGAGTCAGTGAGTCTGACCACGCCATCCTTATCTTATCACATGCTCAGTTTGCTCAGGAAAAATAATAGTCTAAATTCTGATCTGTTTCCAGAATTAACCATGATGGTGTGTTTGCAACATAATAAATAATATATGACACATGAAAACAATATCAACAGACTGTATGGTATCAGAAATGTGAATGATACATCCACAATCATCATCATCATCATCATCATCATCATCACAGTGACCAACATCAACAGGCAGGTTGAGTCATAACCAGCCAGGACATTACTTATTTGAATGTTTTCCTAACTAGCCATTATACATATCTCAATGATCATAACCAGCCATTACATATCTCAATTATCATAACCTTTGGCATAACAACAATAAACATCATTTACAAGGATACATCAAAACTAGCCAAGATATCACATTCAAGGATTTCATCATGCATAAATATATTGGCTACTTTTATTATGGTAAAGCTCTCACCCTAGTCTCCATGGAATAAGACTCTGAACCAACAATTAACAAAGGATCTGATAATGTTTCATGTCAACTGAAACAGAACAATGTCATAGCAGTGAGTAAATTGTGAAAGGACAGCAATTACATGGCCTTCACCTCGGCCCCGGTTCACAAAGCTATCGTATCGGTACAACCGTCGTACCTTCTATACTGTAAAATAGACTTATGACAGTCGTAGTGCTACAACAGCTTTATGAAACGGGGCCCAGGTCATCAGCTGGTTACATCCACTCCAACTAAATCACAAATATACATACGATAAACATACAAACAAAAATTACATGTTAGCACGTTTGTGAATCTCTACAAGCTAGAAGCCTTGAAAGAACATGGGTACCTAAAGAATAAATGAAAAAACTGGTTTGTTTAGGATATCTTTAGGATTTACCTCACTTTAAACAGAATTTTAGTCGTATCACAGTCTGTGTGAATGTTGTGGGAGAAAAGACCACTGTTGTGCAGGTGTTCGACATTTACACATTTGGTGTAACCCACCACCCCAGGTATGAAGACAACAAACCTAACACATAATTAGGGTGAAAGTGGTGTTTAAACCAACGAACTTGCGATTCTGTCATGACAAAGAGATGAAACTCTGCATTGCCCCAACACACTTTCCATAGCTGTAATTGTTTACGAAAATATTTACCGATACTAACAACCTGTTATGGTGAGTACACTCCAAACTAACATTCTATTAACTCTGTAATACAGCCTCCATGACTGGTGTACCCACAAGCAAAACTGTTGTTATCACACATTGATGCATGTATTGGAATAAACTACTTCAGAGTCCGAACAGATGGCAAATTAATCCCAAGGGAGGAAAATTTAAAATGAATATTTTTTTCTAAACAGTTAACAGTCAATTCTTATGTGATCACAGACCTTTCACAGAACTATTACATGGAGTTGATATAAGGTTAATCAGATTGTTTTATCAACACAGACACATATCAGTCCCTCCTGGGTTCCGTTACAAATTTTTAAGAATTCTGCAGCAAATTAAAGTTAATTCTGCATCCTATTTTTCAAAATTCTGCAAACATTTCAGCAGTTAAATACTTGCAAAACACAAAATCATGCAATTTCAATCTTCAAAAAGATCGATTTTGTGAACATAATTGCAGTGTCAAATAATATTATTGTAAGGTGCTGAAGAAAATATTACCTTATGAATAAATCATCTTTATTCAGGAATATTTTGAAAATATCGTTTTAACAAATGTCTCAGTTTGTTTTTGTGTAACCAATCATACTTTTGACATTTACCCTTTCTTTTCGTTAAGGTTGATAGTCAATTTTGATTCAACTTTCAAAGTAAATTCCACGGCAGAAAAATGGCAAATTCTGCAGGTAAATGCATTTTCCGCGGACCAGATGTTTTTCTGCATCAACAGTTAATTTCTGCGATTTATTCTGCAACCGCGGAATCCAGGAGGGACTGACATATAGAAGAAAACTAATTTCTTATTACAAATTAATATCCCTTTAATAGTTCCACATTCATATGTTTTACATTGTCATATTCGGTCACTTCCCCTATTGAGTCACAGACAATTGTAGACAAAATTTGAAAAGCATGAACTTCGTAAACAATTACCTATAAACCCCTACTTTGTCACAGATGTTTTACGCAATTATTACGAAAAATAGAATCAGTGTACACATTCACATCATGACCATTGGCATGCACATTTACATCATGAAAAACCCATGTACATATTTACACATTTACATTAGACTTTAGAGTGAACATCAATAGAATGAACATTTGTGTTTATATTTAAATCTTGAACACTTCACTATTTACACAAGAGTGCAAATTTACAGCATGAACATTGGTGTGCAAATTTACACCAAGTACATTACTATGCACACTTACATCATGAATACAAATGTAAGCATTACACCAAGAACACTAGTGCGCACAGTTAGATCATCAACTTTAGAGTGTACATTTACATCATGAACATTTGTGTGTACATTTACATCATGAACATTACCCTGCAGTTACACCATGAACATTTGTGTGCACAGTTACACCATGAACATTTGTGTGTACATTTACACCATGAACATTTGTGTGCACAGTTACACCATGAACATTAGTGTGCACAGTTAAATCATAAACATTAGTGTGTACATTTACACCATGAACATTTGTGTGCACAGTTACACCATGAACATTAGTGTGCACAGTTACATCATAAACATTAGTGTGCAGTTACATAATGAACATTACTCTGCAGTTACATCTTGAACATTAGTGTGTACATTTACACCATGAACATGTTTGTGCACAGTTACATCATAAACATTTATCATGGTTAATGAACATTGGTACGTACAATGGGCAACATTCCCGGAGTTGAGGCCTCTTGTTCTTCTCAACTTCTAAAATGCCACTCAGAGATGTTAATAGTAGCAAAGTAAGCACACTGAATGTTTAGGGCCAACTTAGGTCCTCCACATATCCCCGTCATTCAAGTAAGCACACTGGATGTTAAGGGCC